TATCCAGCCCAACCATTACGCCAACCTTATCCAGCATTTCATCCACTTTCTACATACATTTACTTTGTTCCCATGATCCTCCTCCTACAGATACCCCTCCCCCAACAAACATCCCATTCTGTCACATGGAGTCCCCCCATCCCTTACAATTTTCCCACATACTGTACATGTACATTTGTATGTGTCTAAACACTGTCTATACATATGCAAGTACATTACTGTAACCGACTGACTTGAGCTGTTAGGTCGATTGGTCACTTATTTAGATTTGTGTAGCATTTAATTTGCATACCGGTTTGATTCTTAGTGAATGACATTCCTGGAGCTATTAGTTTGGCTGGATCTGTTAGCTAGGCCTTGACTTTTGATTATGTAATGGGTTTGTTGCCTTATAATGACTGACTCTTGGTTGTGGGGCTCATTCCTGCACCAACCACCATGGCATGAAGACCTTTTTTTAGTCATTTCATTTTTGTTCCTGAATTTTCTGTTTCGTGGGGGGGGGGTTACCGGTATAGTTACGCCCCATGAATCGTCTTGTTGTTGGTTGCAACTCGTCTTTGGATTTTCTGGCTTTTCTTTATGATGCTTTGGTGAGTCCAAAATCATACATTCTAATTAATTATAGTTGCTTTTAATGTCTAAATGTTGTTTTAGTGTGAATATGTATATTGCTTTGTCATGTTGAGGATGGTTAGTTTATATTAAAATTTATTTGTTACAGCCAACCTCTGACTAGTTCCATGCTCGAAATTTGATCCGGGATCGATGTTGAGTCGTCACACAGAACATCTTTTTATTATAAGGTATGGGTTGGAATTTCAAATAATTTTATTGTATAAAATGTGATTGTGAAGTGTTTATGAGTTGTATTTTCAATGTGCAACTTTTAGTATGAATTTGCTTACCAGGTCACTCTATACTTTACATTTCATATTTATTTGAAACATTCCCATTCTTTCTTGAAAAATCTGGGTCTATTTTATTTGACAGGTGTTCCTCTTGCCCCATATTTTTGGTAGCCTTGTATTTCTGACCAACAATTAATAAATTGACTCTAAATTATAGGTTCGTTCTATTGGAAGCTTTACTCAAAACTAGAGCAAGTTCCAAAACACCTGCCGTGTTAGGATACAATTGTGACTCTTGCGATTTTCTCTAGAATGAGGTTTAAGACACATAAACTGAAATTTGATGTGATTAAGAATTCTTATTTATTAAACCTCAGATTCAAACAATCGAGTTAGTCTTTGCGAATTATTGTTTTGTTTGTTACACATTACAGGAGTGTTCAGTACATATGTATGTACTACAGGGCTAGTACACAATACAACTCAAAACATTAACATTCAACTTTTATATAATTTTTTCGTTAAATTCATAAGTTTGTAAGCATTAATGCCACATAAGACTACTTACACACTAATTGAATTCCAAGAGGAAGCAAACAAGCACTCACTGCCACATTTTAACCACTTCCTGCCGGGGACTCCGGGATCGGAGACGTATGGTTTATATGGGTGGCCGGGATCTCCGACCTCGGACAAAGGAAACAGGGCCCTGTAACAAAAGACC